CATAATTATTATATTTACAAATACAAATAACTAAATAGCTAATAAGATAACATAATTATAAGAAAATAAAATACTAAAATAATGATTATATTTTAAATAAAAAGTATATTACTCACTTAATGTTTTGGTTTTAAGTTATTTTAAAACTAAATTAAATTATTAATACAGACTCGCGCGTAGCGCGAGTATAAAATCTAGTTATATAATAATAATGCATATGTAAATAGACACTAAGCGTACCAGAGTTGTCTTCGACGTCGACCATCGGAGAATAATCTCTCGATGACGTTCTCTTGTACATCGATTGCGAACCCCACATGCGGCAGAGCTAGTAGATCTCTTGATTTCTACACACTCTGTATGATTCAGATTCGAAACAAAATTAGATATCCTAAGCTAATAGATCATCAAAAGTTTCTAAAATCGGAATAATCAGCGAGAATCGTTACGCAAAGTACGAAGAATTAGAAGAGAGCAAGACGAGCTGAAGATGAGAAACTTACGGATTAGATTAAGATGAGAAAGCAGAGGTCACAAGATGCCCTTGAGAAGCTTCAAGAGGAAGAAGAAGAAGAGGAGATGCAACGGTGAGCCGTGATTGCTAACGTGCGCATGTCCAATTAGACGACAAAACGTCAAAGGAGAATCATGTGCTTTTCTCTTTTTTTTCTTTCTACAATTCTACTCTACGTCAATTTTCGTCCATTAATTAACTGCACGTGTCACGCCCTCATAGAATTTGTTGCTATTTGCTAGATTTATCTTTTTGTCGGTGACATCAACAAAAGAGTTCATTTTATTTTTCTTATAATGATTTTTAGCATTGTAAGATGGGAGTATTAAATCTAGTACATTCGAATAAATTATTGGAAGAATTAACATAAATTCTGGTGTTATTTAATCATGTATTTCATTTTTCTATATATCTCATAAGATAGCTCCAAATTATATTTTCAAAATACAAATAAGTTTCTAAAAATATGAAATTGTAGTGTTGTCCAATTTATCAACTTTTTAAAAACAAAGTTGTGGACGAGCAACACAAGTCCGAACCTTTTTTTTTTTTTTTTTACATCAAACCACAAACTACAAATCCAAACCTTTATAAATTAATAATGTTAGTATTTTGAAATTTTATTAATTTATAAAGACATTAATTATAAACTATTTTAAAATATATTTTTCTAAGATAAGAAAAATGTATATTATTTAGTGTATATATATACTACATAAAATTTAAAAGTGTTTTTAGATATAATAATACTAAATCCCATAAAAATATATTAAGTATTAAAAAAATACAAAGATAATTTTATTGTGAATATATTAAATAACAATATAATGATAAATTTTTATTTAAATAAAAAAAATATATATATAATTTATAATTTAAATGAGATCATATTTCTACTTTAATTTTTTTATAAACATTCATTTTATTATTTTATCAATTTATATCAAATTTTGAATCCGTTTATTAAAAATTGAAACTGAAGAAATTTATCAATTTATCAAATATTAATTTATAGAAATTCTACTATATTTGTTATTAAATAAGTAAGCCACATAAGAGATCATTTACAGACGCTAGTCACTTCACTACGGACAAGTAAAAGAAGAACATCTTTTTTTTTGATCAAACAAAGAAGAACATCTTCTTCCTTGTTTTCTACTTCTTTGCAACTCTACAGAACTACTCACTCTTGAAACTTGATAGATCTACTGTACTTACTACACACTACTAAAACCCTCTATAGTGAACAAACTGTCATCTTCCATATCAGCCAAGTCCAACAGTTCCTCATCCCAATCACCACCTTCTCCTAATGTCTCCGTTTTCCCAAGCTCAGCCTGCATACAAAGAATCAAAACAATCATTCAACAAACATCATCCACCACATATCTTTTGTAGTGCTGCCCCTATATCATATCACATATCACCTTTGTCTGACAGTATCTTTTAAGCACACGGTGGTATTGCTGGCGAGCCTCTGGAGAGTTAGCCATCGACAGAACACGTGAGAAAGCCTCGTTCACTGCAACTTCTACTTTCTGCTTACGAAACACCTTCAGAATATCTTCCTCTTCAATGTCTTCTACGTCTTGCCTGAACCCTCTTAACCCAGCTCCTTTTCTTCTCCACCTCAGTACAACCTTATCTAAAACTCTTACCGCCCAGCAGATAACCTTGTAATGCTTCCTTATTTGGTATCCTCGAACATGAGCCTGCCACACACAAATACAAGTTAAACAAAACGCTAATGGGAAACAATATTCATCTCACTAAAGCTGTATAAATAAATACCTGTATCTTCACAGCTTTCTGACGAAGTATGACAAACTCTTTTCGACGTTTATAGCGACGGTAATTCTTCTGAATAAGTAAAGCTGCCTTATGGTAGTTCTTTGCATTTCCAAACGCTAACTTAGACATTGCCGAGATGCCTTTAATATCTGCATAGATCCCATACTCTTGATAGTAAGCAGCAGCTGCTTCTCTCTGCTGTCTCTTTCTAAACGAATGTGCACGAAATGCTGCTTGGATTCTCGCAGCTGCTTGAGCTGCGTTTCTCACTGCGGCCAGCGTGTCTTTCAGTGAATCTGGACTTTGTTCTGAAATTGACTTCAAAGTCTCCTCTGCTTTTAACTGAGCAGTCTCTTTAGATTTTTCAGTTTCTTTAAGTGTGAGAGACGAGAGATGGTTGGTTAAAGCCACCTCTGATAGATAACCTGCAAGACCCTTGTGGCCATTAGAGGCAGCTATTGAAGCTGCTGTTTTACCAGCTGGGTCTTGCGCAGTGGGATCAGTCACTGCTCCAGCTGATGCCTTCGAAAATATAAGTGCAGCCACCATTTTTTCACTGCCACAACAAAAGAAAACAGTGTCAGTTATTGTCTAAGAAGTTGAAAAGACGGTGTTGGTCTCACCTCCCGAAACGTGCAGCCCAATGAAGAGCACTCCATCCGTTAATATCACGAAAATCCACACTGACTCCACGAGCAAGAATTGGTTGGAGTGCCCACTCGAAGCCAAGGCCTGCAACCATATGAATAATGCCTTGTTCTTGCTTTGACAAAGAACAAGATGTTTGATCTTCATCTTGGGGTGGTCTTGAAGACAGCCATGCATCCAGCTTGTCTTTAAGCAGTTCTTGTAGAAGCCAATCAACTGTATCTGATGATGTTGCAGTGCCATCTAAAATCGTTTCTAAGATATGGCTCCATTGATCTTCATCAGCTTTTAGTTTCTTCACCAACTTATCACCGCCTGGCTCTAGGTTACTTTTAACGTCTGATAGAAGTGTTTGCACAAGTCTTACAAGTAACAAAAGCTCATCTCGACTGCACCTGGTGACAGATGTGTCAGGCTTATCACGATACTCAAATTCAATTATTTGGCTACACGAGAGTCCATCTCCAGAAGTAATGCATAAATTGACTTTTCCAGGGCTACATGGAGGTGCTTGGCACCGTATAACGCCTTCCTTAATGATCTCGAGAGGAACTTCAGTACTCCCAAACATGCAAGACCATGTAGATTCTTTTGGATCACGGAGAAATGATCCAATGATTATCACCTGCATTGTCATAATGAAAATCCAATTACTCACTAACCATTTGTCCTAATCAGATAAGAATTTATTAAGGATGGAGTAAGATATTAGACCTTTGTTGTTTCATTCGCGTAACCCCACTCTGGTGATATGTCCTGGATAGTAAAATTTTGCTTATATGCAACTGTCTGGTTCATTACTTGCTCGAAAGGCAGCTCAATTCTCCCTCCACCATCATTCATTCTACTGTTTTCGGCGTTATTTTCCAGAGCTCCCAGCTCTGGATAACAAGTAGGAAGTTCAAAACAAGAGCCAAGTTCTTGAGGCAGCAACAATGTAGCTGATTTTTAAGATAAGTATCAGAACCAATCGAGACATTGTACAAAGTATGAAGCCTAATAGTATTCTTAAGCTATACATTGGTCAGCCTGGTTGCTGTAACTCCAGTTAGAATCTCCCTGCATTCCAGTGAGCAATCCTTTCGCTGAACTTGGTGTACTTCCCTGCTTTCAACAAAACAGTATATTATAAACATTTTAGTTTGAAAAATCTTAACTCTTAAAGATTCCTAGTGCTTTTCTTCTTTCTGAAGACTAATTAACAGATACAAAACAGTCTTGATCCCACATTTCATTTAATTATATGAGAGAATTACCTCAGAGTTGAGAGCTGTAGAAGCCTCACATGCCTCCAGAACATCTTTCCAAGATCCAGCCTTTTGTTCGCCACTCCCTCCACTACCACCTGTAACAAAAATGCTTTTTTACTCTTCATAAAAACCTTCTCCAGTAAGGAAAAAAAAAACTGATATTGAAACCAATGTGTATACCAATGTTGCTGCTATTCTCTGGTCTCTGATATACAGTTGCTGGTTGAGCAAGGTGATCCGTGTCTAGAAACTGGAGACTATCCAAACTTCCGATTTGAACGTAGAGTGGATCTACAACAACATCATCACCAAGACTAAGTTGTTTCTCAAGCCTCTTAAAAGCCTCCCTAGCTTCAAACTCATAAGAAGTTCCACTGCCTTTCGGTGTCTCAGTCTCAACTCCGTTACTATTACAGAAAACGTCAGAGTTAATCTCTACATTGCCAATGGAGTTACTGTAGCTTGCTTTCTGAGTCCCAATGGAGTTTGGACTTGAAAGGAGAGTTGAAGGACTCGGTGAAAATTGCAGACCGGTTCCACCAGTTTGTTTTACCTGAAAAGTTAAAGCCAACCACAACGTTATACAATTAAACCGAAAGTTATGCTTGTAGTATATAACAAAAATAGTCACCTCCTTTCCATCACTCACATCCCTGTAATGAACAAGAGCAATATGTTCGTATTCCCTGATATAAAAGAGCAGTACCTTTTGTTAGTATATATTGCATAGACATGAAACGAGAGCAAGAGTAGATAACTCACGGATCTAGTATCCAGTAGATACGCCTCTGAAAATAAGGCTCATGCTCTCCATGTGCATAGTAACATTGCAAAGCCTCCACGTTACCCACCTGTTCCATAAACAAACATCAAAGACTCATTAAAGAACATATCTAAAGTCGCAAAAAGAATATCTTGGAAACAAAAGTTCATCAATAGTCTTAACCATAATCAAATTTAACATCTAAGTTGCTACGAACATAGCAACAATTTTGAAGTAACTATCTCACTTTAAGTCGTTCGTGAGCTTCAGAAATAGCTCTACCATCCTTCTTTTTCTTCCATTGATGACCATCTTTACGGAAGAATTTAAGAACCCTTTTATTGTAAAATAACAAAGATCCACCTGAGGAGACAGGAGCAAAGTCAAGAAAAGCCAATATCGTTCCATCTCCAAAAACGAGTAAAGAAAGCGAGCAAAAGTCAAAGCTTACTTGAAGGCTTATGAGGTGGTTTATATGTTAACTTATAACGTTCATCATTCTGTAATATGAAGTATACTTCAGGCGGTTTCAACCAACGAGTCTTCGCTTCTTGGTACAGTGTATTAACATCGTATTCTAAACCAAAAAAAAAAAAAAGTTTAGCCTTTTAAGTCAACGGAAGACAGAAGAAAACGAAAAGGTTCAGCCTTTAGTAACTCACCGGACTGCATAGCGAGTTTTGAGATTTTTCAGAAGAATTAAAGTAGTTGAGATATCAATCACATGAGAGTCAGTTTGGTCTTCTTCGTTCCTTGGCTGTTCGCAACTAGTAAGAGAGAGAGAGAGAGAGAGAGAGAGAGAGAGAATTTGACTATGGACTGACCAAGATTCTTTGGTAACAGTTTCCGACAGATAGCCACGAAGATGAATGTTATGATGCCAGGTAATGTGATCCTCTGTGGTCATGCGCATGTTAAGCAAGCGAGACTATTGGTCGAATAAAATAATCATACGCCCTCGTGCCTTATTACTGAGAGTTATCTTATATATTAAAACAGAAGTCATAACTTCACTTCATGTGATATTTTAAAATTTGGCCATATTCCTAGAAAGGTGCTGTTCGTTTGCTCACCCAGGTGATCCATCTGGGTGAAGATGCAAATCAATGTTCGTTTTGTACATTAAAATGCTACACCTATATGGATCACCCAACTGATTTTTAAAAAACTCATCTCAAATTCTCACCCAAATGAGGGTGAGTCTTGATGGTGCATCTGGATGCAGATGCATCTAGTTCAGTCCAAAATCATAAATGACAAAAATAACCTTTTAAAATAAATATAATTTTTTAAACCAAGAATACTAATTTTTTTTTGCAAATATATCTTTCCGTAAAAACCAAAAAATATATTTTTCGCCAAAATCGTAAAAACCGGAAAATGTATTTTCCACCAAAATCGTAAAAATACACTTTGTCGCCAAAACTGCAAAAATACATATTCCCGCCAAAAATGCATTTTGCTGCCAAAACCACAAAAACGCATTTTTACGCCAAAACCGTAAAAATGTGTGTTTCCCGCTAAAACCGTAAAAACACATAAAACACGTTTTCCAGCCAAAACTGTAAAACGCATTTTCTACCAAAACGGTAAAAATACATTTTCCCACCAAAACCGCAAAAAACGCGTTTTCCCGCTAAAACCGTAAAAACAGGTTTTCATGCCAAAACCATAAAAATGTATTTTCCCGCCAAAACTGCAAAAACGCGTTTTCTCGTCAAAACCGTAAAAACGCGTTTTCCCGCCAAAAACACATAAAACACATTTTCCCGCCAAAACTGTAAAATGCATTTTCTACCAAAACCGTAAAAATGTATTTTCCCGCCAAACCACAAAAACGCGTTTTCCCGTCAAAACCGCCAAAACACGTTTTCACGCCAAAACCATAAAAACGTATTTTCCCGCTAAAACTGCAAAACACGTTTTCTCGGCAAAACGGTAAAAACGCGTTTTCCCGCCAAAATCGCAAAAAATGTTTTCCCGCTAAATTTGTAAAAACACATTTTCATGTCAAATTTGTAAAAATGCATTTTCCCGTTAAAAATGTAAACACAAATTTCTTTTATTCATTTTATTAACAAATCCATCTGGATGCAGATGCAAGTTAAAAAAAACAAACGAACATAGTTACATTTAGATGATTCATCTAGATATATAGACGAAATAGAGAAACGAACAACATCCAGATGGAGCATCTGGATAAGACATCTGGATGGACCATCTGGATGCATCTTTCAGATGTACAAACGAACATGGCCAAAATACCAAATTTTACATAAATTCATTATTCTATCTTTTAATATCTTATATTTTTAGAGGCCTATCATTTATTTGAAATACAAATCATTTTATTTGAAATACAAATGAATATATTTAAAATATTGTAACAAAATCTTTTAAAAATCTCTTTATAATCTTTTTAAATTTACTTTCAAAAATTAGTTAATTTTACCTTAAATTATCATAAAATATAATTAGAAATTAAAATTGAATTTAGTTTTTGTGTATAAATGAATATTAAATATTTTTAACATATTCACTCATAATAAAAAATGAAATTGATTAATTTCAAAATACATTCTACTAATATATATATATATATATTCAGTTATATTTTATAAAATTAAAAGAATAAAATTATATGATATTTTATCTATTTTCTAATAATATCTATCATTTTAAAAGAAAACCATTATATTGAACTAAATATGATAAAGTTTTTTGAAATTGATAAGTTAGTTTATTTATGTTAATAAATATAAAATATTTATTCTAAAAACCTAATATGTTCGTAGAACGGGTTAACATTCGTAAACTATATAATTCATGTATGAATGTTAATTTATCTAAACTTTATATATACAGTAATTTATTATATAAAACGAATAAATATAAAAAATTGCTAATCTAGCATTTTGAATTACGGATTACGATCATAATAAATTATAAATAAAATAATTTTCAAATATTTTTTTTCATACATAAGAAATTGGTTTAATAATCAAACATAAATCCAGTAAGAAAAATTATATAATAAGAAGAAACATATATATGTGATGATTTTAATTTGTAGCATAAAAACTATAAGTAACATTAAAAATGTATATTTTGACCCATAAAACATATATTTATATATAAACATGAAAATATATACCCGCACGGTTGTGCGGGTCGAAATCTAGTTAATTAGTTAAATGGTCATTGTCGCAGCTAAAAGGCGCTACGGAGGAAACTACAAAAACAGTCCCAGTCTCGTCTGACTTTTTTTTTTTTTGAAATGTGTAACTTTGACTTTTAATTTGGCTGAGACTTGAGATTGAGAGTGAGCAACGTTCCCACTTTGAAAAAAAAAAAAAAAAAAAAAGAGTAACGTTCTCATTGCCAAGCTATGGGAGAAAACAAAGGTCTATTAGAAAAAGGAGAAAACAAACAAAGAGTGTCACACCTTAAACATTTGACTACACAATGACTTTGAATGGGTGACACAGATTAAAAATTGCAGATTATATGCTCTGACCATGTCAATCATATATAAACTTTTATAATATATATGTGATTTTATCTTATATAGTGATTTTATTTTGTGTGTGCCAAGACCGAAATGTTTATGTATATGTTTTTTTTTTAGGAGTTGAATTTTCTCCAATTCTTTACCAGATTCTTGAAAAATGAAGCCTCAAATGCAATTTTAACACAAACCATCATTGGAGAAAAGGACTTTAAAAGCATATTGCTCCAACATTTGCATACATTCTCACGTGAATTCTCTTAAATTATTGATTTGAACTGCACTGCTAACACGTAAACACTATCATTGCCACTCATTAATTATTATTATAACCCTTGTCTTAGCAAGACGACACACCATCAATGTTCATTCTTTTTTTTCATCATCTTATTTGGCTATTATCTATAAACATACCAGGAAAGCTACAAACTTAAAAGGAATGAAACAAAAGAAAAATAGTAAGGAACGTACATCACTGAGACATTGATTACCCGTACCTATCAATTTGGTATAATCTTGTCCTTAACAGTTTTCATTAATTACATTACATGTGAGCATGTCGGTGATCATTGTATGAAGTACGGACTGTTTTAAATTCAAAAAGAATCCAACTCTGCGCCTAATTGCATACCGTCCTGGAATAGTAAGTAATTATGCTCCTCTATGTCACGGATTCACCGTTTACTACACTAAACCATACGAGGATATTGATATACCATAAACAATATGTCATGCAAGCTTTTAGTATTGTAGAGTCCACATGTATATGAAGAAGACCTTGTTAGTTTTCTTAGATATCGAAGAAAGTATTCACGGTATAACCAAAAGTACCAACGAAGATCTCAAGATGTAAACAGGATAGACTTCGAGGAGACGATAGGATTCTATAGCAAAGATCCATAACGACAACAAAGTAGTTGAAAACAAACAAGTTATGCATTAATAGTACAACACAGCTGACCCAAAGAGAGGACAAAGAGACAAATGCATAGAAGCAACCTGACGACCGCTGCAACATGGACGACCTGACGCAACATTTGACTGACATTACCGACACCCGCTGTATCAGACACCCTTCTCAACCCCCAAACATGTCTACGACTCACTGGAAACAGACCACAAATTTCAAAACACACACCGATCAGACATATTTATCCTCTCTAAATTTGGGTTTTTAAATCTAACATAGTCAAAGGTCTAAGAAAGATTGCAAAAATTTTCATAAACGAATAAGACAAGAAATCTACACAGGCTGTTACAAATGCAAGTTTTTGAGGCAAACAAATTATTAAGGAGCTAATGTGACCGCATAGATACATCGTATGACACACCTGATCGTTATCTTCTGGTGCATTGGAAGGAGAACCGTTCGACTGACTCCCTGGTTTATCAGCTCCACAGTTTTGCCTGTTGCATTTGCTCCTGAACGGATAGTTAATGTTTCCACAGCTGTCACACTTCCAGCTCCCTTCCGGCGCCTTTTGATCTGATAAGAAATAAATGTCAATATGTCAATCTCAAGATCTACTACGTAAGTCGCAATATTTTAAATTTTTGAGAGACTTACTGGAGGTTTTGTCCGAGCTTCCACACTGCTGCAACTATAAGATTTGAAGGTTAGTAATTACGAAAAAAAAATCCAAAAACTGTCCAAATAACCCATCTACATGATTAAGAAATCTCTTTGTTTGATACTTAACTAGTCAAGCCTTGGATTCTAAATTAATGTCGGTATATGAAAAGGTCAAAAAAGCTGCACAAACCTGGGGCCCAGGCTTTGGAGTGTTGCACTTTCTCATGTTACATACAGTTCTGAACGAGAAGTTTACATTACCACAATTCGGGCATGTCCAATCATTCTCACGAGTTGAATCTGTAAATGAACGTATCAAGTTTACCATCACAGTAAAATATATAACTTTACAGATGAGTTATTCTAGAATTGGAAAAAAGTAGAATAGGAATTACCTCTCTTTTGTGATTTTTCATCTGCAAAGTACCCTCCTGGTCTTGGCATCTGCAAAGAACACATATGGTTAAAAGTTCCATCCCTGAGATTTTGCATGTGCTCAGAACCATGCATCTAAATTTTATACATACCATAGCGGCGGCAGCAGCAGGACTCATGGCCATCCCAAAGCCATACCTATCCATCGGTGGTGGAGGCATTCCATACATACCACCTGCAAGATAGAAAAAAAAACACCAACAAATGCACCAGTCACATTAGACATTTGCTATCTTTAAAACGATTGCAACTAAAAGACTTGTGCCAATTGGGAAAGACCAAAAATTATGATAGGAAGAAAATACATACCACTTCCCATCATAGATCCACGATGGTACGGTGAAGGTGGTCCAGACATATGGAATGGTCTGTAATGAGGACCAGCTGGATATCGACTATTATAGTTAAAATGATAAGGAGAACCCCCAGAGAAGGGGACGTCATAAGGAGTCATAGACGACCCGTTAAAGAGAGAGGATCCATATGGAGAGCCGCCCATAAGTACTGGAGAGGGACTCCCAGATCCTAAATATCTCCCTGGTGATGCGAAACTTTGTTGAGGTTGCATAGGTCTGGGAGCAGACTTCTGTGACGGATATACAACATAGACCATCAAAAAATAGAAGATTGACTGAACGGACATATTCTAGTATAAGGTAGAAGGTTGAGAGCACATAGGTTTTAGATATTAAAGAATCTCGTCCATTTCGTAAAATGGAATCAAAGTACAAAACATAGAACCAAAGAATTATCCAACACAAAACTCAAGAACAGTACTGAGTGCCCTTTAAATTTTGCTAATCCTATACTTAACCTACAACTTCTAGCAACATCTATTGGTGCTTTCACAGAGCTACAATCTCTTGCACACAGACTACAGTCGATGCAAAAAAAACTGCAGTAGAGACAGAACACTAAGGCTGGCCTTCCACCTCAGTACATAACATACACATGAAAGCCTTATCAAAACTACTCAACATCCTGGCGGTCTATATAGATGTGAGTCTAAGAAAAAGACTGGTAAACATAAAAACTAAACATCATGACTCTAAATTCAACCACATGCCAAGGATCAACAACTATTTTGCAAAATCAATCCCCAAATATAACTAAACATATAGACACATATATATTTGATGTTACAATACAAAAAAAAAGGGACTTACTCCATTGTGATCAGCAGGTCTAGACTGAGTGCAGTTACGCATATTGCAAGTAGTCCTGAATGAAAAATTGACATTTCCACAGCTTGGACAGGTCCAATCATCTTCTCTGCGTCCCCCTATCCACCACACCAAACATAACAAATCAAAACACAGATATTCACCACATTTGTAGCATGAGAAACACAAAACTCCAATTTGTCCTAACTATATTGACACAACCGTATTAGTTTTAATGTCCGTACCGTCAGTTCTAGCACGCTTAGCAGCTGACGAGTTTCTGTTGTCAACCTACAAAAAAACATCAGAACAAGATCAAAGATCAGTGGTACGAGGAAGGATCTGTAAAAATTGAATTCAGAAGCGCTCAATTGAAATTGATTGGTAATAGATACAGTTTTCAATTAAATCAAGCAGAAGAATCTCGACACAGTGTTAGATCTGCGATACTCTTTTGCCAGTAGTGTACCAAAAGAAAAAAGAAGAAGGTGGGAAGTGTACCTGAGACATAGCGGAGGAATAGTCTGTGAGAGAAAGCGGAGAAGGAGGCGCGGCACGGTGGCGAATTTTAACCCTAAGACGGGAGGAGATAAAAAACAAAAGAGGTGGAAGTAGGCAGGAGAAGATCGGTTTTATAAAGTAACCAGACAATCACTACTGGCCAATAACTGATAACCGAACTGAAAAGGGCTTAACCGAACTGAAAAGGGCTTTCTAGGTAGAATAATATGGTTCGACCGGATTTAATCTGAGTTAAATTAATATAACAAATTCATAAGGTGTCAATTGTTTCCGATAGTTTTTTTTTCTCTGATCTATTTATCTATTTATTCTATTATTTGAGAAGTAAAATGCTGATTTGTAACAAATTCATAAGGTGTCAATTGTTTCCGATAGTTTTTTTTTCTCTGATCTATTTATCTATTTATTCTATTATTTGAGAAGTAAATATGCTGATTTGTAACAAATTCATAAGGTGTCAATTGTTTCCGATAGTTTTTTTTTCTCTGATCTATTTATCTATTTATTCTATTATTTGAGAAGTAAATATGCTGATTTGTAACATTCTTGTATTCTATTATTTGAGAAATAAATCAGTTGATTTGTAACATTCTCCATAATTGTAGATAAATTTGATTATTTGTTATATTCTTCATAATTCTAGATAATTTTGATTATTTGTCATATTTTTAATGGTTTTGGTTATTTTGTTTATTTATCATATTCTCCATAACTGTAGATAATAAAATAAATGAGAAAGTATCATTTAAATGATCAATTTCTAAATTTGGTTGAAATAAAGCACTAATTTTTTCGTAAGCAAAAAAAAACACACAATTTTTGTTGACAATCCATTTTAATCACAAAATTTCATCGACCATACAATTTTAGTCATATTGTTAGTCAACAGTTATAGTTGACTAACAGTATGCCTAAAATGACTTTTAAAGTTGATGATTATTTTAGCACAAATATAAATCAACATTCTATATTTTAAATATTGCAAAAAAAATATTTTTAATACTATAAATAAAAAATAAATAATTTTAACCAAAAATATAAACAAAAATCATTGTAAATAGTTAGTTAACATATTATTAATCAAGTGTTTTAGTGAAAATGATTATGAATTTTTTTTAATTAATTATAATTATTTTTTAATATTTGTATTATCCTATTTGGATTACGTTTTATAATTTTATATTAAAATTTTGTTAGTGAAATGTCAATTCAACCCTTAATTCTTAAACGAAAGAGTTATTGGTTAATGGATTCTTCATCATTCTTTATATTTATAATAAATCTTTAAACAAATCTATATAATTTCTATTAATTTTTTACAAGAGTTTTTCTGCATTTAAAGCAAAATCATTTTCACCAAAAAGTTTTAAGATCCAAACTGTTCTTACATCAAGAGTTTCCATTATGGATGTGAGAAAACATTTTACATCTTCAAACTTTTTGATGAAACTTATTTTTCTTTAAATGCAGAAAAACTCTTGTAAAAAATTAATAGAAATTATATAGATTTGTTTAAAGATTTATTATAAATATAAAGAATGATGAAGAGTCCATTAACCAATAACTCTTCCGTTTAAAAGTTAAGAGTTCAATTAATATTTCATTAACCAATTTTTGAAAATAAAATTAGAAAACGTAATTCAAATAGGATTATATTTTAAATTAGTGTGGTTTTTGTTAGTTAAAAAAATATTGTGTTGTTGTTAATACTAATGTTAATTCAACAAATAACTAAGTAATTTATGATTGATTTTTTTTTGTTAATATTATATATCACCAACATTTTGCCTATAATCAATCACAATTTACTAAAATAATCTCTTAATAATAAATCTCACAGTTTTAAATAAAATTATTTCACTTATATTTTGTATATTTTTTACTTATTTTTTTGTTATTTTTTTCTTATATTTTATTAATTTTATAAAAGTTTATAAGTAACATAATTTATATTTATTTCATAATAATAATAATACTAATAAAATATTCATAAAACACTAGTATTGTTGTTTATATAATGTTTATTAATAAATATTTTATGCTTTCTAGTATTATATGTCCTAAACGGTGGTTCGTGCAACTTGTTTTTTGGACCGGTTCTGTTGATGATTGGGTGTCTCTGTTGACAATGGTATCTTCGAGCCCATTGTCTAATGGCCATCATTCTTTTTCACCCTCCTAAGTGAATATGCAGAAACAGTGGAGCGGGGGTTGAGGTCATCTTAAGTCAATAGCAGTTCATCTTCTATTAGACTATACTAGGTGATCTTCCCGTGCTCATGCACGGACATAAATATTCATAAAGTAAAAACTAATTTATAATTTGTAGGTATAATTTACACTAATAATATTATATTACTCTAATTATATATATGATTTTAGATATGTTATATCTAGTCGGTTTTTGTTGTTTTATAGTCGATTTAGTTATCATTACATATTGGACTCCATCTATTTCTCTGAATTCAACTATAAGATTTTATTTTGTTTTAAATATATTAAGTTGGTTGTTGTCTTAAAAACATTTTAATAATACTAATTATAATTATTATATTTTTTTAATTACACATATATCAGTTTATGTTACTGAATTATTTTATGTAATCATCTAAGAAAATAGATAGATATATAAAAACAAATTTTATCACTTTGAAAAGATATATATTTTGTTGTTTAAAATTATTTTTGTAAAGAAAAAAATATTATTTTCTAATATCATTATATGTGTGAAATTTTTTTTTATTAAATCACATTGTCTAAATTTTTTTTTTATCTAAGAAGATATAGATTTAAGGAAAGTATTTTATTATCTCAAAGTATATTTTATGTTATTTAAAAAAATCTTTTAAATGAAATATTACTATTTTGTGAACTTTTCTTCTTTTATGAAATCATATTATGTGTACATATATTTTCGTTTAAATAGTTTTGTAAACTTCATAAATGTTTCCTTTTATTTTATATTGTTGTTTGGAAATTAAAAAAAATTTAATTATTTTTTTAATTCATTACGGATACCATAGTAATCAACCAGCGTGAGACTTAACGTTTGAAAAGAAAAAATATTATTTTCTAATATCATTATATGTGTGAAATTTGTTTTTATGAAATCACATTGTCTAAAAATATTTTTTTTATCTAAGAAGATATAGATTTAAGGAAACTATTTTATTATCTCAAAGTATATTTTATGTTATTTAAAAATATCTTTTAAATGAAATATTACTATTTTCTGAACTTTCCTTCTTTTATGAAATCATATTATATGTACATATATTTTCGTTTGAATAGTTTTGTAAACTTGATAAATGTTTTATTTTATTTTATATTGTTATTTGGAAATTTTTTAAAAAAATATTTACATATTTTTTGGGACCCCTTATTTTTTTAATTCATTAAGGGTACCATAGTAATCAACCAGCGTGAGAGTTAACGTGAGCGCGACACCTAAGAAAGTGACTTCTCAAATAATATTATAGAGATTCTTATATATTTTGGTTTCATATTGTTTTTGGTTGTTTAGTTTTTATTTATCTTATTTGTATCTTCACAAGAGTCACAATGTTCGGATTGATAATCACTTGATAATGATGTTTAGTTTCCCTATATTTTGTTCTTCTAGTAATTATTATTCACTGACTCAGTTTTTTTGAGAAAATTATTTTCTAGCATCTAAAAAATGAATTTCTTAATAACTGACTATTTATAGTAGAAATTATATAGTATAGTAGTTCATTTTTGACTTGTTATATCACTTAGAGATAATATATATTAAATTTAACTAAATATCTTTTAAAAAATATTAGCAAAATATTTACTAAATATAAATTACATTTTGTTACTTCAAATTTTGTATTTTCAAATAATAATTTAAGACATTAAAATCTAACCCCAAAACCTACATCCTACCCCTAAAAAATAAACTGTAATTGCTAACTAATAAATCCTAACGTTTATGTGTCTTTATACTTTGTAACAAATATTTGTATGATATTTTTAGAAGAAAGAGATGATTTTATGCTATTATAGAGTATTTCTCTGTATTATTTTAAAATCAGACACATAAATGTTTCAAAAGGGTCAAATACTTTTTTCTAGCCCATACTCTCATGGGGGTATACATGGGGCTCATCATGGAGTGAAATCACTTCCATGGGCAATTTCATCAACGGAGTAATCCATTATAGAACCATTACCTGAGGATGTTCTAAACGACTCGCACTGATAAGGATGGACATGCTCGAAGTATTGATAGTTTGGAAGGGATTATCAACTCACCAGAAGATGTGCTATCTGTCAACGATTTGGTATTTCATATTTTTGGTTAAAATGTACCTTTTGGTTTTTCATGTAATTATGACTAGTATTTTTCTTTAAGTAAAGTTTGTTCATGGACTTTTTTTTTAAAAGCTACACACAGCTTAAGCCCATCTTGAATGGGGCCTTCCGTAGAGATGGACCGGCGCTGAGCACATGGGCCTATCTATATTCACGATGGATATGTTGAACTAGATTTTTTAGTCTTCGTTCTTTGTTTATTGTCGCCGTCGCTTAACTTCAATATTTTATGCATGCGTCGCCGTGATACATACTTCATACTTGTCTAAAAGAAAATCAGTGTGATTTTTCTGAGTTCTTAGCTGAAAATTTGTTTGTAGCTGACCTATTAGCGATAGTTTAATTATTTGTTACTTAACCTTCAGAAGATCATCGGTAATTTTTCCAACTGAATTAGTCGTTGGAAATATTTGTCCATATGAGGGTTGCATGTTCTGGTTCAAGACTCCGATTGAAGTGATTCAAGACTTTTAAGATGCTCGAAGCAAAGCGGTAGATGTCCGAATATGCTTGTCTTGGGGTTGGGGATATATGGATTAGCTCTTCGTATTTCTTTATACTATCTTTAAATCCTTTTTTTTCCTCATTTGCGTCTCAATTGACCATCTTCCTGAAACTATTTTCTATAACTCCTAAAAACAATGAACATAGGTTGCATGGGATATGGACGTAAAATACAATATACTTTAGTCAATTTCGAATAAAATAAGAAAGGATGTAGATAGATGTCCGCAATGAA